AACAGAGAATAAAGACAAATAAGAGAACTTAGGGGATAAGGGTTAAAGAAGACCCTAATATTCAAAGGAATGAACCAATACACACTCACACTGACACACACACACACACACACACAGAGTGAGAGAGAGAGAGAGAGAAAGAGACAGAGACATACAGAGAAATAATCTACTTTTCTTTCAGTTTAAGTCTCCTTTCCATGAATATTTTACAGCTCTTTGTGCCTACAATGCATCCCTTTTGTATTTATATATTCAATCTTGCCCCTGATTTGCACTTTTTGTTTGTTTGTTTGTTTTTTTCAAGTCAGGGTTTCTCTGTGTAGCCTTGGCTGTCCTGGACTTGCTTTGTAGAGGAGGCTTTTGTAGACAGCAATCTACCTGCTTCTGCCTCCCCTTGAGTGCTGGGATTAAAGGTATGCTCTACCACGCCCAGCTTTATTTGCACTTTTCAGACATAAGCATAAATATTCCATTCCAGCTGGACTACGAGATGCAGTTTCTTTTCCAAATTTCTTTAAATTGAACTGACCTTGTGACTAGCTGAAGGCAACGGGACGTGGTAGAGTGACGATCTGCTAGTTCTGAGCACAGAACTTAAGGGTTTGGCTACTTCCTCTCTTGGAACTTTGCCAAATGCTGTGAGTAGGTCTAGAGCAGGCTGCCTGTGCATGAAACCTAACATGGAGCAGAGAAGGGCTAGCCCTGCGCCTCGAGAGGCTGTAGACTAGCCAGCCGGGCCAGCAGGTGACTGCAGTGTGGAGACTTGCTCAACTACCCAGAATTGCCAATGAGTAGAACCCTGAACTGCACACATGCTTCAAGCCGATACGTCATGGGGCACAAACAACTGAAATACACGTATTCTAACGCCTCCAAGGCAACACTAATGACAGCATGTGCATATTAGAACCGAGAACTCAGTGATCCCCAGTTGATCCTTTGGGGGCGCCGTACTCACTGTGCATCACAGAAGCTGTGTCGCAGCAGGCACTCAGAGTGTGAGGAAATGAACTGAAATGAAAAACTAATGCTGATTTTCAACTTCTACTTCATGTTTGCCACAGAACTGCTAAAAAATAAAGAGCCACTAAAATCTACTGCCGTCTCTCTAATTCCAAAAGATGAGTAACTACAGGCCACCAATTTCTGGAGTGCAGCTATCACTTTAAAATAATTCATTAAATAAGAATTAATTTTGTCCTCAAGCTTTAACATTCCCCAAGCTTAGAAGCTGAAATAAACACACACACATTTTTGCATGTAAATTTTGTACTGAAATTGAACTTTTACGACACAAATATGAAATGCTATGGAAAGACCTTTTGACTTGTTCATTATTATGAATCGTAGATTTTCTAGTCTTAGAATCTTAACAAACTAAAAGGGTATGTCAACGTATTTTAACTGAAATATCATGAAAGCTTGTATATTTGAAATGCCATTTCACGTTTTACCTTAAGTAGAAAAATAGAAATAGAGTAAGTGAAAAGAGATGGATAGCTTTATAATCCACACCTAATTTTCTTTCTAATGACACTCTGCTATTACAGTCTACACAGAGACTCTTTCATCACCACCCATGTTTTGAATATGTTTAAAATTATCATTCACCTATTTGCATCTGAAAGTCTAACACAAAAGAACATGAGCACATGATCAGCATGATACATTTAGAAAGCAGAGAGGCAAACCCAGTATCTGAGCGGCACTGAGAAAGCATGTGCCCTAAAGCACACCAGGAAGACCCTTCTCATATGGACATGCACCCTACATTCTGCCTATTATGGAACTCTGCTTGGGACAGGCACAGCTATTACCTGAAATGGCTACTGCCATCTTGAAATTATAGCCTCTGTGACTGCTTGCAGGAAACCCCCACAAGACTGGGCCTTGTCCACTCCTCCTGGCAGTGGAGAAGAGCTCCTGATTCTCCATATAGTAGTTACTGGGGCAGGGGCCACTGGTCTACAATAGCTTAGCTGCTGTAAGCTGCCCAGGCTCCCTGTGAACAACCCCTTACTCATTCTCCTGTAAGTAATTCCAGCTAGACTTGGGTAGAACTGTTTTGTTTTTTGGGAGAGCGGGGAGTGAGGGATGTTGTGTTGTCTTGGGCAAACAGACACTTGATTAAGAAAAGTCACACAACATTAGCTTTAATTTTCACTTCTGGTATTTCCATTACCATTTAAAAATTGTCATTTACTATTGTGTGTGTGTGTGTGTGTGTGTGTGTGTGTGTGTGTGTGTGTGTAGTGGGTAGGCACTTGTCACTATGGAGGTCAGAGAATAACTTAGTGAAGTCAGTTCTCTTCTTCCACCTTTATATGGGTTTCAGGGAGCCAACTCAGACAGGTTTTCATGGCAAATGCTTTACTTTCTGAGCCATTGTCCTAGTCTCCGTTAATTACACTTAAACTGTTCTGATCTTTGACTTATAAAAGCCTAAGGAGTAAATCTGTTAATAAGTTAAATAATGAAATCAGAACCTAAAAAGGTTTAGCCAGTTGTGAGAATGATGGAATCTGTATGCTGACACATCTGAAAGAAGAACAGGGCTAGTAAAAGCCCCACCTCTAGGTCTAGTCCATGAAACCACCGTCTACAGGCCAGATGAGGAGGAAGCACTCCTGCGGGGAAAAACAACACCAGCATCAGTGAAGGGGACACTTGGCAGCATTAGGAACAGAAAGCCAAAGCCCCTTCCAAAACAAGCAGGCGATAACACAGATTCAGTTATGGCCATCTTCATGCTAAGGAGACTGCTGGAAAATGAACTCACTGCTTTGGGTAGAGCCCCCCAAGGCAGAGCCAACACACAGTCTGGGTTGGTTGTCGGGCAAAAATGGAGGGAACATAGCAAACTCTTACTGTAAGACTAGTCTCCACTCCCAATTTAATATTCTGCTTTATGATTGTGAGGAACACAAACAACATGAGACAACCATGTCTGTCTCATCTTAAGTCCCCTATAGTCCTACTTGTATTTTGAGCATCTGAGAATGGCCTAGATGAATGAAAAGAAAGATGTTTTCAGAGAAGAATGTGATACGATCATTTTGCAGTATGTCACCTACCTGCTAATATAGCCTTAAACTAAGAATCTTGGTGAAATCATCTAGGTTAGAAATTATCCCTTTCCAACAGCTGTAACACAGAAAGTTGTGAATAGAATTTGGACGACACACTGAGTAAGAAGAGACACCGTCTTTCATGATCAGGAAAATGCTGTAGTTTGGGCTTTTACCGTGTAAAGATCACAAAGGAAGCTCTAGGTGTGAGAAAGCGGCACCATCATGACTCTCAGCATCTACACTCCACTGCTCGCTGGCTCACAAGTACCTGGGCACTCAGCTCGCTCAGGCCCCCACTCTGGATATGCTTTCCCATTCCCCCTCAGACCACATTTTTAAAAAAAAAATACTAGTTGCTTTCCACAGGTGCTGAAGCTACAAACTACTGAGAATGACAATATTTTCTTTGCATGAACAGTGAAAAAGGAAAGACTTTTTCTTTACTATGTTCTTCCAATGAAAAATCACTTTCTGTTTTCCAAGAAGTGTGAACTGGCTTAGAGGTTTTGGAGAACAAATTCCAGTGGGAGGGAACAGATCCCCACTGAACCCTAAAATAAAATCTCTTCCCACTTTAGATCAAAGTCTAAAACTTGAGCAACTCAAACCTATAAGTAGAAGGTGTTCAGTGTGTGCTAAGAGCCCCATTTCTGACAGTGCTAGGAAAGCCTTATGAAAAAGAGAACCCCTAACCCAGCCCCCAAATATTAAGTTGACACACGTTTCTCGGACGTGGTCTGAATCCTCAAACCTTGGTGGGTCTATAGACACATGATTCTGTTGAACAGGGCTTTCCGGAATTGTCATCAATGACAGATTATACTACCCATCCACAAGGGTCCAGGGCTAGCTCAGGCCATCCATTATGGGTTAAAAGCTATTCCGGCAGGAATCCAGTCACAGTGGTAAGGAGGTAACCCAGACAAGGGGTCCTACAGCTTTAAGAAACACTCTGGGCATCTACAAGTTTTCAGAATGCAAACTATGTCAGCTCTGAAAACAAGAGGCACTGCATCATTATGGCAGGAGAAACAAAGCCAGGCCCCCTTCTAAAACAGACAAAAAAAAAAAAAAAAGATTGTTTTAATAGGAGAGAAACATCAGTCATTGATGCTTACTTCATTCACTTTCTATCCAAGCCCATCCATCTTCAGAGTGAAGAGATGACAGAGCAGTTACGGCTCTCCCTTTTGGCCCCCACTCATCTTGTTCTACTATGCCCACCACCAGGACCTACCAACCCACCCTTTCCAGTCTGAAACAACAGCCCTATCGGTGGTCTTTCCATCTCATGGGCTTGCCAGGGCTCAGGTAGACCTAAGTACTGGCCTTCATCATGATACTGTAACAGGACTTCCCATCAGTCTAGCACAATTGGTCAGAACCTTTCCCAAACCATCTTCAAGCAGCAGAACTCTGTTGATGATGGCTGATAATCTTCCTCAAAGGAAGCAACAGAAGGTACGAAGCAGCAAACAAAAGTCAACAAACCAGACTAATAACCCAGAAGGCAAAACATTTCGTTTCCTTCAACACTGCTGGCCACATTATCGACACACAAAATTCTCCAGGCTGCCAGTGCACCTGCTTAGCATGGGTTTGACGAGTCATCTTTTCGCTGTGTCTGCAGAAGTCAATGGCCACACAATGGATCACATCACTTGAGGGTCACTTGAGTCCCTCTACTCTGTGGATCCCTCCTCCCACCCCCTGCCTTCCCTCCCACCCACAAAACCTTTACTCCACCATTGCTAAGCATCTCAGATAGCTAAATAAAAGAGGTGGCCTCAAACACAGGGAAAAGCCCTTAGGTCTCCAGTGTGAATCACCAATGCCAAGCCCCCTCCCCTCCCCTTTTCCTTAAGACCTGATGGTTCTTCAGTCACACATCTTAAAAGAAAAACAAAAAACAAAAACACAAAGACTTACTTGTCTCAAGTCGATGAAGGCCAACTGCAGCGTGTCCTCCTGGAACCCAGGCACCGGGCCGGATCTGGCAAACTCTGTGGGAAAGAAAAGAGGATAAAAAGCGCCTTTAACTAACCATGGACAGGGAGATTGGCAGACGGATGACAGGGAAGACAAGAGAGGCTGGGGGAGAGGAGGACTGAGCTTCTAAGGAGTCATGTCTCTCTCCCTTCAGCTTCTTTGTTGGCCCTTCAAAATTCGTGTCATCAAAACACCATTAATTCCAGCATCCTGACAGCAAGGAAACTGTACTAATTCGACCTGAAATTTATTCCCATGAGCCGCACTGGGCTTCAGAGTATTTGTTTTGTGAATGGACAAACAACTTGCAAAGGAGGAAGGGAGGGGGGAAAAGAAAAAAGTTTTTCCTCTCAACACAATAAAATCTTCAGCTGAGAAACTCTTTTCAGTTCCGAAAGCTATTTATATTTCAGATCGCTGAAGGAATTTTCTAATTTCACGCCTGTCACCTCATTCCCTAGGCATTTATGAAAAAATATTCCCTTCCACATCATTACTTATTCCCTCACTGATTATTTGTATTATCCCATGGGTGCCAACCTCCTACACCACCTCCACGCATGCACACAAGTCGCAGCTGCTGCTGCCACGATCACAGTCTCCTTGAAAAGCTAGGCAGTACTGGCAGACACGAAGACGCCCACCTGGATGAAGCTTACTCCAGAATGTTACGGGACATTTGCACGTGCTTCTCCTTCTACTGCACTCCTTGCCCTAACTTTACTCTCCATGCTACCTTAAAATCTCTCTTCCCTCCTCCTGTTTCCTCTTAGGCCAAAGAGGCCACATGGATGGCTCTCTGCAGTTTACAGCTGCACCTGAGATCATGCTCCCTCATAATTCTGGCTTCTACTCTCATTAATAAGAAAGAAATGCTTAGGGCTACAGGGACAAATGCTAGCACAGTTAGGAATGTCAACCTTTATCATCCCTGAGCTTTGCTTACTAGGAAAGAAAAAGGTCTGAAGTTCCCTCCACACAGACAAGCATGCAGCGCAGTTAAGATCTGGGTAGTCACTGTAACTTCAATTCTTCTTGTGAAGTCAAAGCATGATGTGTATTTCATATCCATCCACTATTTACATTAAAAGCAGCCCAAGTACATACAAAACATGTAAGAGGTATTTTCCTTTTAAACACATATTCCCCAAAATGGAGTTACAGAACTGGTATATTCTTTTTCTTTTCTTTTTTTCATATACAGCTAGAAATGTGTAAGATTCTTTACATACAATAAATTCAAAAGATGATATACAATTATTACTATTTGTGGCCTTTGTACTTCCCTTTCCATCCATTTTGAAACCATAATAGCCTTACATAATATCACTGACATTTTTAGTTTTAAAAATAATAATGCCAACAACTTAAGACTATACAGACAAGAGACCACTATATGAAAAGAATTATAAATCAATACATTAAACTAATTTAGATATAGTACAATGTGGTCTATACAAAATACTCTTACTGTAGACTTTTCAAATTAAAAGGATGCATGGAACAGAGATCAGCTCTGAACAAAAATTTAGTAAAGCAACTGTTTCCTTTGAGAAGAAAACTCACATGCCACCTAGAATTCAACATTATCCAAAGGAGGACCAAGAAACTCAAGTTTTAAAGGAATAAAGTTCTAAAACTACAGACATGCAGTGAAAAGCATGTTGACGGGAAGCTTGCCACAGCACACCCTGTAAATCAACAGTGATGTGCAGTAACCAACAGCACGGTCACATCTGGTACACAGGCACTGTGCACCCTAAACACACAACTGCCTCACCCGATGCTCTTGGTGAAGGACATTCTTTGAATCACAGTGATGGCTCTCTTTCCAACAGCCTTGTTGAGTGGTCAGTCTGCCTACACTTCCACCAAGGTTGACAGATTACCTTGAGTAGTCCTGTATCATTCAAGCCAGGGTTGCCTCATTTTGAAGTATTTCAAGTCATCTCTATCAGAAGGAGCTCAGCGGCTGGGATGTTTGGCTGTCCTGTCTATGTCCACTCGATGGACTTCCCCTATGACACACCACTGGAAGGCTTGGAAGCTAGCTTTATGTTTATGCTACTCCTCACTGAACACGCTCCCTTGGATGACAGGTAAACTGATTCAGGAGTCTGGATATATTATATGCTGAGCTTTCACTCACTTTACAGGCCTGGTTTTTATGATCTACCAAATTGGAGGTTCCCCAAAGACATGGCAGCCTTTGATTTATCCTTTTATAAGGAGAGCCAGAGAACGTTAACTGTGCCAGGTATAATAAAATCTCCACAAATCACTTATAAAAATGTCTAATTACTGTAAATTCAAGTTCATTTTGGACTTTCTCTCTCTCTCTCTCTCTCTCTCTCTTTTTTTTCCCTTCTTCAGTACTGAGCATCAAACCTAAGGTCATACATGCTATACCAGTGCTCTATTAATGAACTACACTCCTATAATACTTACAATCACACAATAGTAAAGGCAGTAAATTCCTTGGAGATAAAGACCCTATCTCAAAGCTTAACGAGTATTCAAAACAGTATATGCTCAACAAATATGAGCATATTTTAGGTTTCAATTAAACAAGTTACATAAAAATCAAGATTCACTAAACACATAGACTCAAAACTGTGAACAAAAGTCTCTGGGTTGTTACAGGTAAGGTCCTTAACCCAGGTGTCAATTTGCAGGATCATAAACTAGTGAATTCCATAAAATCTCAAATACAATAATCTTAAAGGGGATGGTTGTAGAGCTCATAAACACCAGAACTGGAGCTCTACTTCTCCACTTACTAACTCCCATGTTCAACAGATGACTTAACCCGTGTACGCCTTTAAAGTCATTATTTCAAAAATTCACACTTATCAAGTCACGCATATAACGCAGCTGGCAAAGTGGCAGGCATATCATAACTGATTATTCTTATAACTGATTTTGTATGTGTGTGAATATGTATTTCTCCACAAAGAAAGGTTCATAACTTTTACTGAATTCTCAGAGGTTTGAAAGAGGGATGGCTCAGTGAGCAGTCATTTATTTATAGGAAAATTTATAGGCAGATACTTAATTATTTTGTATTAAGGGAGTTAATATGCCTAGTCTGTTATGCACAGCAAGAAAAATTTCATTTATATTATAAAAATTAAATAAATACATGAAATAAAATTTCTGTAACTGTAATTTAATAGTCTCAGAAATATGACCTCCTAGACTAAGAATCTTAGAAATTCATAAAAATGTATTAGTAAGTACATATACTAGTAAGAAAAGTAAATAATAAAAAAAAACAAAGTAACAATTCATTCAGAGCCTGATTTTAAGTAGATAAACTATAGTGTGCATGGAAATCATTGCAATAAGCATCTACTTCACAGTTTTATTGGAGACAAAGAGTGATTTCTTCTTTGTCGTTTATAAGCTCCCATACCCCAAGAAGAGGAAGTACAGGATGCAGGCGTGACGACATAGAGCAACACTGACCAGCAGTATTTCTTCTTATGAAGAGGCACAGCAGGACAGGCCGACATGCACAAGTCCTCAATCACCGCCTGACAGCTGGGAAGGAAAGCTGGTATGTGGACAGGCCAATTTCACATGTCCATGGTAAGGGCCCTAGAGCCATGGACTTCTGACAGGAATCAGAGCCAGGTGGAAGCAGAAGACAGTCATGGACTATTCCTTCTTGGACTTTTTTCTGGAAAGTAGGTTTTTAATCTCTCAGTGACTTGTGTCAGCATGAAAGTGTCCACAGCCTAGAGTTCTACAGGGCAGCCTCAGCACCATCCAGGAAATCAAAAAGCCTTCTTCATTTCACATAGAGCCAAATCCTCCTTTTCACCAGTTCCTGTTGCTTGTGGATAGGTCCAAATACTGGTGAGTTGGCATCTGCTTGGAGGTTAAATTATACAGTGGTTGTAAGCAGTCACAGCACAGAGCACCCCCTCTACCCTCTGCCTGTCCTCAGGAGGAACTCGCTGAATGCAACATGGTACCAAGTCCTGACTCTGAGATTCACTGTGAAAACTGAAAAAAAAAAAAATTCAGTGAATAAACTGGCAACTAATTGAAGACTGTGTAGGAAATGTTAAAAGGAGGCTCACAAAGTTACAGTAGAGAAGGCACATAGTCAAAAAGATTCAAGGAGAAAGAAAAGCACAATATCCAACAACCTCTGACATTCTTAATGCATGAACCTTTGAGATGTGGTCATCATTTTAAGAAATGTTAATTTTCAAAATATCATTTAAATCTAAAACTCAAATCATGTTCACAGTCTAAGAAAGTTGCCAAAGGATAATAGAAAGAAGTGTAGCTAACTTCGGGATTTTTGTCTGGGTTCTTTTCAGGAAGAAAGCAAAACGCTTGAGTATAAAGTGTGCTGAGTGCTGAGGGTGCAGTGGGGAGGTGAGTTGCTTGCCGTGTGAGCACGAGGGCATGAGTGTGATCCAAGAGGCCAGAAAAAGTCAGACATGATGATACATTCTCACAATCCCAGAGTCATGGTGGTGGATCCCTGAGGCCTGATGGGGCCATGGTTAAGATCCAATAAAGGCCCATCAAGGGAGAACTATTTCCTTCTTGCCAAGAGGATGAAATCTCGGCTAGAGTGGGCATTTCAGCTAAGCAGGGTTAAAGAAGGCAAGCTCAGCTTATACCAGTTAAAGAGATAGGTAGAATAATCATCCTTTAATGAGATGATGGACTTTTCTTGCTAGATTTTAAGCCCTAGTATCCTAAAGGGCACAAAATTGGGTTTTGTAAGTCTGCTTAATTTCTGAACTATTAGAAAAGCATAACTTTTCATTTTCCTTTATTTTATTTTATTTTATTTTATTTTTTAAAGCACACACTCTCTAAAGCTTTGGGCTTTGCCCTTTCTCTTAAATTCCCTTCCCTGACTTATGGGTGCGGTGCCTGCCATCATGTGACTGACCTGCATGTTTTCCTCAAACAGCAAGGTCTTTTTGTGTTACCCATCTCTTCTTCATTTTCTTCCGCGAGGCAGGTATCAAGATTCTCAGCTTGC